ACACATTGACACATTGACACATTGACACATTGACACATTGACACATTGACACATTGACACATTGACACATTGACACATTGACACATTGACACATTTGTATAGGAAATCGCACGATCTCGAGTACAATTTGGAAATTAATAGACACGAGTAATGTTTTGAAAGTTCTTGTAATTGCACGAGCCTTTTACGAGAAGATCGTGCGATTTTTTGTTTATAGTTCACTCAACAAAATTTCAGTAAAAAATGCGAAGCGACGCCGTTCATCTTTGTCTATTTGGCGGCCGATTTCCAGTCCATCGTGCAAATGAAACGCATAAAAAAGATTAGTTCTTACGGCTTTAAAATTTCATTTATGCTTTTTAAGTACAAAATGATAGAAAATAATTGTTTTGACATTGTTTTGGCCGTGTTGCCATAGCGACTTAATTCGGTACTCCTACGGAGTACAATTAACGCTATAATTGTACTCCTCTCGACCAATCAGAGTCGAGTAATTTTGTAGTGAGTGTACTATAAACACATTTACACATTTAGACTAAAAGATATATCACGTGTTTCATTATGTATTCTTTGCCTCGTGTGCGTCAGCCTGAACTTTAAATGTAAAATTCCACTCGTGAATCGAAAATCCAGAATGCCCTGACCATTTAGTGAGGACTTAAGATGGAGAATAGTATTTCAGCGTTTGTTTTATGCAAGAACGTTCAAGGAAACATGTGATATTTCTTTTAGTCTAAATGTGTAAATGTGTAAATGTATAAATGTCTTTTTTTGGTGGACAACGTTAATGAAATTGACTGTATATCAAAAAGAATATACATATATGGCGACTTGGAGATACGAATTTTACGTACCTTCTCGTGTTAAGAATATCTCACTCTTTCAAATTCTTTCAAATTCTCATTCCTAGTAACGAAAAAAATAATACTCAAGGAAATGACACGTGGTCTGAAATGGGAAAACATTGTACCATAGCTGAAAAGCATTCCTAGTAAAGAAAGCAACAATACTCAAGAGAATGACACATGGTGATTTTTAAACTCTTTAGGTACAAGAGAAGGAAAGACCAAAGGAGGCAAAGAAGTAAGTCCATTGGATGTCCTCTGGGAGCAGTTCAAAGTCAAGTGTGCTTGTTGTTTGAGGCCTTTCGCCGCTAAAGAAAACAAACCTCCAGAACCTGAAGCAAAGAACAAGCAAGAATCAAGAAAGGATAGGCTAAAGAGAGTGGTAATGCTCATTCGCTATTGGCCACTTTAGAAAAGAGCAAAAGACTGGAGCGAGTTTTGAATTTTAATCTAATTAGCAAAAGAATTTCGTCATCTGGTGAAGTATCTCAAACTTTAGTTGGTTTTCGAAATTTGAACGCGTTTCGTTAAAAATTTAAAAATTTAAAAGCTACAAGCCTTCAAAAGTGTTAAAAATTTAGAAAGAATGTAAGGTGTTACGAAGTGTCTTCTATCTTTGTCTCTTTTGATCCAGTCATGTTCAAATTTGCCAGACTTTTTTTTTCTTTTTTTTAAATAACTTCAAATTTGCCAGACTTACTAATCTTGAGATGTTTTCTGAAATAAGATTAAAATTCAAAATTCGCCCAAATCTTTTGCTCGATTATAGACCTAATTGCCCTATTTCACTATGACGTCACATCAAAACAATCTATTGTTTAAACGCAAAGGATCATGGTCGTCGGAGGGGGTCAAATCAACGCAAATTTACCGAAATATGTTCTAAAACCTGTATCAATCCATGAAGAGAAGTAGAGTAGCCAACAAACGCTCAGAATGTTTTTTAGTCCGTATTAACACATATTATATCTGAAAACCAGGCCATTTTCGCTAGGAGCAAATTTTGTTGAATTTTCTATTGGATTTGGCGATTCTATCCCCCACATAAACAAGCAGAGACGTCATAGTGAAATAGGGCAATTGAAAAAAAGTAGTCGGGTTCGAGAAGGTCATATCATCGAAGCTAAGACCGAAAAGGATTTTGGGTACTCCAAAATGTGTATTATATTTGCATAAAGACATGTAAAAATGCACAGTAGAGCAAAGTCGGTTGACCTAGATTAACAACATGCCAAAGTCATGATGCATAAAATGTGCACAGGAAGGGAAAACTGCAATATGCATGAAATTAGCATAATTGTTTGTCTTCCCATGCCTCCCCTTCGGTCTTAGCTTTGATGATATAACCTTTTTTGAACCCGACGACGTTTTTTCAATTAGGTGTGTATAAAATAATTCTTATGTGATAATATGTGTTTATCAGTCAACCAGGGTGAGAAAAAAAGAGAACCTAGAGAAATGCCCTTATATCAAATAACAGAAGAGATCTAACAGATTTCAATGGATGGATCGAAAGAAAGAATGGATTGAAATAAAAATGAATGATAGATAGATAGACGGTTGTATCGTCGTGTACGGGAATTGTCAGGGGAATTCTATTCAAATTCAAATTTCAAGTAATCGGCTAGTAATCGTACCCTACGATAGCATAAATTAAACTATAATAAATATTTATTTGCACGTGCTGATGATACATCGTTTAAATATGATTAAAAAGTGAGACCACCCAACCGAATTCACCTCGTCGTCTAGGGGTTAGGTTTAGGGTTACGGTTGAGGTTGGCACTGTAGTAGTTCTTTGGTGCCGAAGGTACCGAGTTCGATTCTTGGTGTCTTCACTTAATTTTTTTTCTCACTCGTGTGTTCGGAAACCTATGACGTACTTCGTTAATCCGTACACGACGATAGTACCAGATAGACACCTTTATTTTAACTTAAATAAAATAACAACAGGGTAGTCCAGTCAGTGGCAAAATGCCTCTGCTATCAAAAGGAGCCTTGTTAAACATATACACAATATACAATAGAAAATAAAAACTAAAAGGAGCTAAAATGCATGACTTCACTTCACCTTCCCTAACAAATGTCATTCAATTTTTGTCATTCCAGTTGTCTAGAAAATCAAGAAAGTCGACCAAATCAACAGAAAGTAATGCAAGCAGGAAAGGACGGCGCAGCAGAAAAAATAGCAAAGAGCTTGATAGCGAAATGGATAGCGAGTCAGCTTCTGAGTCAACTAGAGGCAAAAGCAAATCAGATAAAGGAACGCTTAGGAAATTGCGTCTGGTAAGTTTATTCAGTAGTGTTAAAGTAGTTTTGCCCATTTCAGACCACGTGTCATTCCCTTGAGTATCATTCTTGTTTGGATGCAAATAAAACAAAGGATGCTATTTTCAATGGAATGACACGTGGTCTGAAATAGGAAAACAAACGCCCAAGGCTAAGAGGTCTATTCCCAAGAGCAAAGGGACTTTGTTATTCTTCTATCTGACCACAGGCAGCCCAAGCTCTGTTATGGGCGTGGGTACGTTATGGTCCAAAACCTCTATTCACATTTTTTCTTCTCTCTCTTTTTCTCCAGGCAATTCGACACAGTCTTAAAGGTATTGGATTTTTCAAGGATGACGATCAAGTTGAAGATCGACACCAAATGCAGTCTGGAGGTATGTCGACTGGTAAGCCGACGATAACAGTGACGACAATACCCGACTGCGGACCAATATATAGATTACGAGGAAAATAGTTTCCAGTTTTCTGGTAAATTCTTCCAGACACTGTTTCCTTTATCTTGAGCTATCATCAGGGGCGTTGCCAGGGTTTTCCGAGGGGGTGGGGGG